TTTCTTACCTTCGACCCTGATCCAGTCGGCCATGAGGACCCCGAGCAGGAAACCTGCTCAGGTGGCTCAGATGCAATGTAGGGGATGTTTGGAAGAGACTCAGTGCTAAGGAGAGAAAATACATAACTCAAAGACTCAAGAACTCTCTCTGCCCATCTTCACATCTCCACCTCTCAAGCTTTACTCCCACAGTTCTGATTCGAACAGGAAGCCCATTAGTTCGAATCATAACCATTCTGTCTCACCCTCTTTATCAACCATACTCACGCTTCTGAGGGAAGAGTGGGGGAATCCGATGAGGCTGAAAGATCAGCTGGGGCTGAGCCCCCAGAATGCCTTGTTTCTGACCCAGTGCTGCCACATGTAAAAGGGGAGGGGCTGGGGACTTCAGCAGGGGCTGAGGAGTGAAAATCAGGAACTCAGGAGACTCTTAATACTGAGTTCACACACCCTAAAGCAAGACACCCCCGTCCCAAGAAGTATGACTCCTCCTTGGCTTTCAGGTCACATGGGTTCCCTTCCCCAATGCACATACTGACAAGGACTGAGTACCTGATTGGAGAGTGTCTGAACCTTGACAGCATTCCAGGGCACTGCCTGGCCAGGATTGTATGCAGCCTTTACCAGCACCTTCTCACCCAATTGGGGCAGCCTGCCCTTCACCACACTGCCAGCACAAAATCCAAGAGTGCCCATTGAGGAGAGGGGCCTGACCAGGCGCCCTGGTCACCTCAAAAATACCATGTCCTCCCCTTCCCCAGAAGATCTCCCGGTAAAAAAGGTCTTCCCCCCATATATTCCTGCCTGTCAGTACCAAAATCCCCTGGGACTCAATGTAAATAGCAGCCTCAGAGATTTCTACACCATCATGATGATGAACTTTAACCCATTAAATTTTTTCTGTCAAAGCATCCTCACCCTTTGGGGAGATCATCAGAGCTTTCAGCCTACCTCAACTGAAAGAAGACCTCCTCATCAACTACCCCAAAGTAGTCATGCAAGCTGGTGACAATGCCAGTAAAGACACGTTGCTTTTCTCCACCCTGCAGAGTAAAAGGGTAGTAATCAAAATAAGGAGGAAAATGGCTGGAAACAAATGAGTATCTCTCATAACGCCATCAACACAAAAGACCTACTTTCAAACTACCTTCTCATCCCTACCCAACACCCTCAACAGTCTGAGTCATCAGTGAAAGGACAGTTAAAGTCCTCTTTGCCAGAAAATCTCAATCTGTAGGAGACTAAAAATAGATGTAACCCAGTCATGGATGAAAATCAGATTGGTTTCTGAGCCACCAACCTATAAGTACTCTAGCTTCTTCTTGGATAAAGAAAAGCTAAATAATCCTCAAGCCCAAGGTGTATGATTCCTAGTCAAAGAGTTGACTAGCCATTCTCCCAAGATGGGAAAAGGTAGAAGAGAATGACCCATAACATAAAGATCAAAGAGTCATCAGAATTCACACATTAAGGCAAGACCTCAATGGACAAAGTATACTTGAATAAACGCCTACCTGAAGGTGCCTGGCATTCTGAGACAATTCTGTGGCTACAGGAGGGGTGAGCAAACCTGGTGGTGGGCCCAGGAGAGATGTGGATGCAGAGCCTATGAGAATAAAAGCAAAAGCAGAGTTGGCATACTGCCTTAGCCCAATCTAGACCCTAGGATCAGGAAAGGGTTGTATAAAGTATCTTGGTAAAGTAGAAACCACAATGAATTTGGAGTCAGAAGACCTGCATTCAAATCCTTTTCAACCCTGAGTAAGTCACATTTCTGAGATCCTGTTTCCTCATCTGTAAAAAGGGGGGGGGGAGGGTTGGACTAAATGACCACTAAAATCCCTTCTAGTTCTGAATCAATAACCCACAGACCACAGAGCTTCCAAACACCTCTGGTACATACTGCTATCAGCACCACACTGCAGCTCTCTCACTCTCAAGGCAATCTCAGCAAATGGTTCTTCTCCCACTGCCTACAGCCCCCATTAGAAATTAACATCACCTCAGGGATATTGGGGTAGGGGCAGAAAGGCTTAAGTTTGTAGCTGTTTATCCTTAATGATGCAGCATGAAAAATAAAATTCACTATGTGCTAGAGAAACCTCAATAGGGAAAACTGAAGGAAGTCTAACTCTAAGGAAGACAAAGCAGGCATTTCCCAATACAGTATCAGCTATGGGCATAGGGCCTAACCTGAGAAGTTTCGTCCTCCTGGTAGTGGGTTGACCCGCTGGCGCTTGAACTGAGACATTGAGAATGCTGGTGTCTTTTACTGGGTCTTGGGAAAAACCTTTGATGAAAGGCGAAATGTTATCGACTTCATATGAAAGCAAGAGTCCTTAATAGTCTAGGAGAGGGGAAATAGGAAGAAAGGAAAAGGGAGGTAGGATGGAAATGGGGGGGGAGAAAAGGCAATGAAAGGATAAGGTTGCAACAATGTGGTAAGGATATGGAAAAGAGACAAGGGGAAGGGGGTAAAACAAATTATGTGGAAGGAGAAGAGGGGCTGTTGAGGAATGGAGGATGAGGGGGCAGTGATACGGACAATGCTCATGGGGAGCAGAGGGGAACAGGAGGGATCACGCAGTAGGAGAGGGATGATGATGGAATATAGGGATAGGATGATGGGAGATAATGGAGAGCGGGGAGAGGGAGGTGACGAGGAGGAGCTGGGAGGGCGGCGGGGGAAAGGAGAGATGCGGGGACTGGGGCCGAGGGTGGAGGGCGCTGCTGCCGGGCTGTCCCCGCTCCCGGAGGCCCTCTCCAAGCGCAGACTGACCGCAGCCCCAGACACTAGCTTTCCCGCCTCCGCCTGCCCCGGCCGATGCAGCCGGGGACCGCTGGAGGAGGGGCAGAGGGCAAAGAAAGGGGGGAGGGGCGCGGCTTCCACTCCCCCCCTTCCCCGGAGCCCTAGCCCGTTACCACGGAAACCGGGGGAGGGAAGTTTACGAGCTGTGGCCCGGGTCCGGGATGCCCGGTGCAGGGGCCCGCGACCCCTCACCACGGGCGGAGGGAGCGGAGGAGAAGGGCCCTGAACCCACCTGTGGGCCCGGGGTCGCGACACCGGGGGGACAAAGGCACCCGGAACCACCGCCGCCGCCACTACCGCCACCGGAAGCGCTTCACCGGAAGCGCGACCACTGCTCGGAAGCCTCTTCCCTGCCGGATATCGTCCCCTTGGTCCGCCCGCTAGCCCTCAACAGCCTAGAAACGGAAGTGTACCTCCCCCTACTGGAATCGGCGGGGGTGGTTGCCTCGGTGCTCACGTTATAAATGTCCGGCGACAACGTGAGACTCCGAAGAACTAGTTCCTAGGTAAAAGAAGCTCCCTAACCCCAAAGCAAGCCCGCTATTTTCCTCCTACCATCCTGGAAGACGCCTCAGAGAGCACTGCTGCCGCCTATTCGATTTCCAAGAGCTACACACCCCGAAGCTCCCCAAAGTCAGTTTCGGAGTGTCCTCAACCAAAGTCACCGTAACTCTTGCTCCCCTTTCCTACAATGTCCTACAGTTAGTTAACAAAGACTATCCTCACAGTACAGTGAGCATTGTTATGTTCATCCCCCAGATGGGAAACTGAGGCTGCCAGAGGGGAAGTGACTTGCCTTGGGGCATATATGGCCAGGAAGTGTCTCAGATCTAAGTCTCCACAATTCCCAATTCAATGGCCTTTCCCTACCATGTGCCGCCCCAACACCAAAACCTCTGACCTCCCTTCAAGCACGGTCCTATCTATCCACCACCACCCCATCCTAGCACACACAGCTGTCTAACCCTCACTTTGCAAGCTGTAACACACTACCAAACACATGAAAACATTACTGCCCCTCTTCCACCCCAGGCAGTCCCATCATCCTTCTCAGTCACACATATTCCTCTCACTTCCAGAGTTCCCACATCCACGACACACCTCTCCCTTTATTAGGTTTATAAATCTAGAAATGAAAGGAATCTCTGAAATTATCTAGTTCAGGGGTGGGGCCTGGAGGCCACATGTGGCCCTCTAGGTCCTCAAGTATGGCCCTTTGAATCCAAACTTCACAGAACAAATCCTTTTATTAAAGGGATTTGTTCTGTGAAACCTAGTTCAATCCCCCTCATGTTAAAGATAAGTAAAATGATACCCAGAGAGGGTCTTGTCCATGTGATTTGTCCATGATCAAAATGGTAATAAATGAACCCAAGTACTCAACCTCCAATTCCAACTGTACCACACTGCCTCTGCTGTGCCTTTCTATCCACGTTTCCTCCCCATTCTGAAGTGAGCCTCTTGGAAGTATCTTCAACTAACATGAGATCCAAAGAAAGCTGTGATGCCCTGACTTGAAGGGTCCTCCCAACCTGGAGATGCTGTGCTGCGTGAAGATCACCACCTGAACAGGACAGGTCAAGGATCCAAGGTTCCACAGAGTGAGCACTTAATACATGTATGGTGAGCTGAATTGAGGTATGATCTCTCCAGAACAGTGAAGGAATGCTCCCTTTCTTCTCCCACCTCAAAGATCAAAAGTCTAATCAGCCCCCATGGGAAGGCAGGGGCTGATACAACAGCCAGCTCACACTGACGCCTGTATATATTATAAACACATAATATACATCTACAACAGGATGCACAGGGCCTGTGGGGTCACAGCACCACACATGCTTCACACAAAGGCACAACAAATAAGTTAGTTCACATCATACAATCCTAAGGATTTCTGACAATGGGCAAGAGCTAGGACAGAAAGCACTTTGGCAGGAGACACTTCAGTCCAAAGAACCCCACCTCTACTGCAGTCCTCCTCCAGCCCTTCATCATGACCTTGAGCCTTGACCCTTGACTCTTGAAGACTGGAAGTGGAGCCCAAGATCTGGTCAGTCTTAGCAAGCTAGAAAGGCTTCAAGGACAGGCCTAGTGATGGACTGTGTGTCTGTCGTCCAAGGTCAAAGAAACTCATCAACACCTTGGTCACAGGGCAATGGAATTTTTCAACTGCAGCAACTCAAGGAAGAGGGTATATCAAGTTATAGAAGGGTTTTGATCAGTGGAGGATTGACGGAATGAATTATGGCTCCCTGAGGTATCCAAAAGCTCCACATTCCAGAGATCTTGAAGGGGAGAGATCCAGCTCTCACATCACGGAGCCCACTCCAAGCTACTAGTCATGGCAAGGAACAGCGTAAGCCCAGGTAAAGGCTGTTGCATTGAAGGGATGCTGCCCTACCCATGATGTGCCAGGCACGGAGAAGAAAGGACTTTGGCATGTAGGACGGTTCAACAGACTGAGAAGTTCTTGGCTCGATGCTTCTTTGCCACCAAACTTGGCATAAAGGCCCTCCGTTGAGGGTAATGCAGGGGACCTTCTGGGAGTTCCTCTGAATCTCTCCTGTAAAGAAAGGAGGTGGGTGTCAAGTGAGAAAGGCACAACTGCAATACTTTCACCCAGGCGCATGTGTTCAGCATGTCACTTAAGCGATGGGGCAAAGGAATGCCTAGTCCCTATCTTATTGTCAAGAAAGGGAAACTGAGGCACGGGCTGATAAATTGAGGGTCATTCTGAGTGATATCATTTTATAATAGAATAAATACTGGAGTGAGCATCAAGAGACCTGGATTCTAGTCTTAGCTCAGCTCAGGAGAGTCATAGAAAGAACTGGACTTAGAATCAGAAACAAATGGATTCAAAACCTTCCCGTGAAACCAGCCATGTGACCGTGATACTCTGTGAGCTCCGGTTTCCTCACCTGTAAAAGGGGGATCATATTATGATATTTCACTTTTTTGTTGTTTTTGTTTTTGTTTTTTTAGGTAATTGGGGTTAAATGACTTGCCCAAGGTCACACAGCTAGTAAGGATACTTACTTCACTTTAGAAGCCATTTCACAGAGCTGTCGTGAGCCTTAAATTCAATGATGTATATAAACTTTAAAACGTCTCTCATCATCATCGTCATCAATCATCATAGCTAACATTTCTACAGAGCTTACTATGTGTCAGGCACTGTGCAAAGCACTTCTTACAATTATTATCTCATTTGATTTTCAAAGCAACCCTGCAAGGTTGGTGCTTTGATGAGCCCCATTTTACAAATTAGGAAACTGAGGCAAACAGAGGTTGACTGACTTGCCCCAGGGTCACACAGCTGCTAAGTGTCTGAGGCTGGATTTGAACTCAGGTCTTCCTTCCTTCCAGGCCCAGAGCTCTAACCACTGCATCACCTTGTTGCCACATCATTATCTTTATTCTTAATCTTATCACTCTTCTCATCTTACATTCAATGGAGTTTAGACAGTCTAAAGATAAGTTGATATCCTACTATCATTCTTTATGTTTATTATTCAGATCACCATCATCATAAGGCATCTAGGTAGCACAGTGGATAGAAAGCCACCCTGTTTGCCTCAGTTTTCTCATCTGTAAAATGAGCTAAAGAAAGAAATGGCAAATCACTTCAATATCTTTGCCAACAACCCCCCCACCCCCCCACCCCACCCCCCGCAAAGAAAAAGATGTCACTGAGAGTTGGACATGACTGAAATCATTGAACAACAACCACAAATCGTCATCATTATCATCATCACCAACATTCTCTGACCCTGTTTCCTCATCTGTAAGATGGACTCACGTTTGATCTTCAGTAAGGGGCTTACTCATTTACTCAATCCTCATTTTATACATTAAGAAACTAAGGCTCACAGAGTAGTCCAGAGTCACACAGCTAGTTAGGTATGTGAGCCAGGATGCAAACCCAGGCCATCCTAATTCTGAGACCAGTGCACAGGTCACTAGGCCGGACTACCTCAGACAATTTGTAAGGTCCCTTCTAGCTACAACATGCTCTGGAAAGAAGCAATTGGCTACAGACTCCAGGGACCCTAGCTTCTCTAGTCTCTTTCTTTTCTGTTCTCCTTTCTAACCTCCATTGTCCAACTGATCCCTGTCCCCATTTCAAGACTTACCTGGGGGAAGGGGGGATCTTGAGCAACAGAAGATTCAGAGGCATGAGGGCTCTTCCATCGGATCCTGTTGATCAAAGCTTTGACTTTGTTCCAATGAGATAGAGTATTCTAAATAGGAGAAAAGGTGAGGCATGAAGACCCACTCAGCTATAGTGGTAAAGTTGACCCTTACCATGGTCAGTGAGGACCCACCCTCCCCAAATCTAGAACCTTACCAACATTCTATCTCCTTAAGTCCTTTGCCCCACAGGACCTCCCATTCCTGATACTCCTTTTACAAGGAGTTTCTAATATTGACCTTCCCGCCCTGAGGCCCTCCAGTCCCGTTGGTTTGCTCCTAGCAATATGGAGCACCTACCCTGTGCCCTCGGTAGGATGGGATTGTGTGGGCAGCCCCCGCTGGTGCCTCTAGCAAATTTGGTGTGCTCACACTATGCACCTCTGCCCGTCGAGGCAGGGCTGACTCTTCCACTGTGAAGAAAGGGACTTGGGTTAACCTGGGCAGGGAAGAGGAAGCCACTGGATTAATAATCAAGGCACCTGAGGGCAGGGTTATGGGTGTTTGAAGCCAAAAAGACCGGCTGTGTGCCGTAGAACAGATGAATGGCAAATGAAGTTTCAGGGAACCAGGAAGGAAAAAAAACGTCCAGCAAGTTGTCATTTACCTGTCTTTTCCACTGGATTCTGAAATTCCTGAAGCCCCAGCATGGAAGAGGATCGAGGGTGAAAAGGAACAAGCCCTGAGTTCTCATTCTTCTCTTCTTGGCCCTGCACCAGGGAGAGACAGAGACCTGTGACCTCATCGGCGAGGGGACTCAGTCCAACACTGCACAGCCAGACAAATCCCTACTTGCCCGTCCAATGAAGAACTGGCATTTATACAGCACTTGATGGCTCGTACATACATTAACTCATCTGACCCCCTTAGCAACCCTATTAGGTAAGGACAAGTGGTATGATTATCCCCATTTTACAGAAAAGGTAACAGAGGCTCAACAAAATTCAATGACTTTCCCAAGGCCACAGATCTAATCAGTAGCAGGAGCAGGATTAAAACCCAGGACTTCTTGACTCTGAACCTACTGCTCTTTCCAATACAATGTAGGTTGCTATCCAGAACTAGAGTTGGCCCCATTCCTGACATGCTCCTCTACCTCCCTCCCTGAAACGTGCCCTGCCACACCAGGCCTCAGGGTCCTGTGGCATCCCCCAGTGCCTGTTTTTCTCAGTCGTCACTCACAGTTGGCATCTGCTGGCACTGCTCTTGGAGCTGTAGATGAAACTGTTGGAGCAGGGCCATTCGCTCCAGCATCAAGCACAGGTGCTCCAAGTATCGAAGCCCCTGCCCTGGGAGGCAAGCCCAGGCATCAGACTCAGAACCCACTACCTGTAGGACATAGCAGGATGTGGTGATTAGATCCACTTTCCTCTCCTTGGGCCCCCAGTTAGAGGGAAGGAAGCTTTCAGGGAAAGGAAGGGAGAATGAGAGTGTGGGGAGCCAAGCCTTGGATAAAAGACTCCTGCCAAACAGCATTCCCCACCCCCATTCCACCACCCCAGCCTGAGCCAATATCAGGAGGAACCTGTGCCCCTGCCCACCCACTCTTTGGGGAGGTTGCAAACAACCCCAGCTACCTGTCGAGTCATGAAGCTATGCCAGCACCTACCAATTAGGATCAGGAAATGCCTGAGAGCAAGCTCCACCGCAAGAAAGTTTCAGAGAGAAGAAGGTGGGAATTAAGAAGGCCATGGGGGGAGGGGGGGTCTCCTGCATACCCTCCTCCATTGGCAACTCTCCCCTGACATCTCCTTCTTCTGGTACTCACCAGAGACTCTGCTGGGCTCAGCTGGGAGCCAACCTCTGCCTCCGCGGCGCCACTCTGATCTCCGCTGATTTCTGGAGACGCCTCAGGGCCCTGCTCACTCCGCTTCCGATGCTTCCGATACTTGGGTACCGTAGTAGATGAAGATCGAGGCCAGAGGGACCTCGCCACCACTTGCTCTAGTTTCTGGCTGGCCAGGAACCGGTCTAGGTCTGCAGGGGGTTCCATAGTGACAGAGGCCAGCTTGGGCCTCCCACTCAGCTCCAAGCTTGAAGAGCCAAGATCAAAGCCAGGAGGGGTGGTAGGAGGACTTTCCCCTCCCCCCATTTCCACCCCAGAGTCCCTTGAAGCCTGTTCCCTGGAGCCTCTCACCATGCAGTCATCATCCTGGGGCTCAGCAGAGGCTACCCTGGGCATGTCATGAACACGAAGATAGATGCTCTTAGCGCCAAGCACCACACAGCCACCCAGAGGCTCCTCACAACCACCATCTGCCAAGGAAAGATGGCATCAGAGACCATACGCGCTCCCACCCCCGAGACTCCAGGACCAAACAACATTCCCGTAGGAAGGTGTGTCCCCAGAGGAGTGGGCGAGGGAGGAACTGCTCAGGGCGATACTAGGAAGAAGTCAGGTGAGATCACAGCGTCTCAGAACTGGTAGGGACTTCAGAGGTCATTAAGTCAAGAAGATGTGTGGACAGGAAGTACCTCTACAACATCTCTCACAGGTGACTGACCAGCCTCAACCAGAAGACCACCAGTCATGGGGAACTCACTACCTTTCCCTTCATTGTTCCCAGTTCCAATCCCTCTTCCCCCCCCCATTCACACACACACCCCCCCTCACACACTGTTGTCCCCAGTGGAATGGGAGCTCCTTGCGGGCAGGATCTGTTTTTTGTTTTGTCTTTATATTCTCAGCTCCTAATCATGGTGCTTTGTTCGTTTGCCACCCTTAATAAATGCTTGCTGGATCAGACTGGATTACATCAACGAACAAACACTTTTTAAGGATTTACTACCTGCAGGGCACTGTGCTAAACTCTGGGGATGCAAAGACAAAAGACGAAACAGTCCCTGCCCTCAATGAGCTTATATTCTATTGGAGGCACTAACATGTACATATGAATATATGCAAAATAGATTCTAAATAGATAGAAGGTGATTTGGGGCTGCTGTTCATTCATTTCTGACTCTCCACAACCACGTTTGGGGTTTTCTTGGCAAAGACATTGGAGTAGTTTGCCATTTCCTTCTCCAGCTCATTTTACAGATGAGGAAACTGAGGCAGAGTTAAGTGACTTGCCCAGGGTCACATAGCTAGTGAGTGTCTCAGGCTACATTTTAACTCAAATCTTCCTGCCTCCAGGCCTTGTGTTCTATCCACCTAACCACCTCGATGCCCCAATTTGGGGGAGGGAGATGTTAGTAGCTGAGCAGATCAGGATTGTAGCTAAAGTGCTTTTATCCACAGGGATGAGAGGGGGAGAAAGAGAGATTGTAGAGTCCAGGGCTTATCCTAGCAGAAGAAGAAACTCCATTGGCCTTTTCAGCCAGAGCTTTAAATCACAGGTTCTTAACCTGGGGTCCACAGATCCCCAAAGGAGTCTGAGAATAGATTTTGTGAACTTGGATAGCCCTATCCTGATCAGCTAGAAAGCCCCTTCACCAGATTCTCACCAGCACCGTACAGAACTGAGGAGAAAGAGGCCAACCAGTCCTACCCTCAGGTCCATGGGTGCTGATTTGAGGATCCCAGATCTCCTCACTTGAATTCCTTTACAGACAACTGGCACAGTCTAAGGCACTGGCTCACAAATTTCTCTGTCTCTGGACCATTTTGTAGGACAAAGTACCCTTTGACTACCTATACTGCCTACCATGAAAAAAAAATCATCCAAGCTAATGAGAAGACTATCACTACTTTCAGTTAGACACCACTGAGACGATGCCTGTTTTCTTAAAAAATATTTTTGTCCAGATCTATGACTGATAGCCATAGAGAACTGCCGGGGAGAATCTGAGAAGTCAGTTACTACAAGTGTGTTGGTGGTGGCAGAACTTAAGCCCGGGACTTCCAACTTCAAAGCTGGCCCTCTATCCACTTCACCATGCTAAGGTGTCCCTCTTTAAATTAAGAGTATGCCCAGGACAGTTAGGTGGCACGGTGGATAGAGCAGCAGTCCTGGAGTCAAGAGGACCTGAGTTCAAACGTAGCCTCAGACACTTACTAGCTGTGTGACCCTGGAGTAAATGAATGCATATTTTAATACTTCAAAGATGCACTTATTCCCTTGAATGAACACAAATTGAAACCCCTTTATACATAGGACTGTCTTCATGTGTTGCTGGGGCCAAAGAATTCAATTGGTGATCAACACTTAACCGGGCTGGTCCTCAGATGACAGAGTTCCTAGTTCAAGGGTCACCCCTACACCAAGATCAGGTATCAGAATATAATTATAATAATAAATAGCATTTATAAGAGCTAGAGGAGGAAATGGCAAACCACTCCAGTATCTTTGCAAAGAAAACCCCAAATGGGGTCATGAAAAGTCAGACACCAAAAAACAAAAAGCTCTTTATACAGCATTTTAAGGAATGCAAATCATTTTATAAATATTATATCATTTTATCCCCTGGGAGGTAGGGGATCATTATTATCCACGTTTTACAGATGAGCAAACTGAGGCAGAGGTTAAGTGACCTAGTCAGAGTCACATTGCTGAGTAAGTTGTCTTAAGGCACAACTTGAATTCAGCTCTTCCTGACTTCAGGACCAGTGCTCTATCCTCTGTGATGCCTGATGGCCATATGACTATCATTCTAGTATGATATATACTATAGTACGCTATATAGTATGATACATACGACATCATACATATAGTATATATTATACACCCATCGAATCATCATAGATTTGGAGCGGACCTTAAAAGTCACCTAGTGAACCCCCTCATTTTACAGATGAGAAAACTGAGGCTTAGAGCCACAAAATGATTTGTCCAAGGTCCCATAAGTAGGAAAGGGCAGAGCTTAGATTTGAACCCAGGTCCTGTGACTAAATCCAGCACTGCTTCTACCGCATCACACTAGACACCAAGAGAGGTTTGCAAATACATTTATGCATTCTCCGGAAACATAACTATAGACAAAATCTCATTACAAACATTACCGCTGGGTAAGACCAAAGCATGAATCATTGGACATTCCCCCCTCCCCCCACCATTCTCAATCCCCAGTCTGTATACTGTACATACAATTATCCCCTTACCATCGCTTCTAAAATATGTTGTTTATATTTCCTGTCTTCCCTTACGGTTTCGGAATGCTTGGTGGGTTTGGGGGCGGAGAGGGAAGAGGACAGGGTTTGCTCACCCTGGTTGGAAGGTCTGGGCTGCCAGGATGGTGAAAAGGGCGCTCGCTGCAAAAGATGCTTTCTGTCCCAAGCTGTGAGGGGAGGTCGGCACGAAAGCCGAACGAAAGCTTTGGCACACAATCAAGCGCGATTATGAATGAGAGCAATTAAGACAAGTGAAGAACCCTGGAGCTCCCACCCAGCCCACATGGTCCCAAGGCCAAGGGCGGCAGCCAAGGGGGAGGGGAGCGGGGAGTAGCGCAGAGCACTGAGGAAGCATACATTCCTAGCCCTGCAAAGTAAAAGAAGCCCTTCCAAGAGAAGAGGGGTGGGTGGGTTTTTAGTCCGCAGCTCGCAGAGTTGTTTATTTTTCTAATTAACACCAAGTTAAGGTGGGGTCAGAGGAAATTCCGTTCGGAAATGTTCGCTTGGGGCAGGTAAGCAGAATTTAAACTTAGAGCGGGGTGGGGGTGGATAAAGGTGGGATGAAAAGGGGGGAGAGGGCTAGCTCCATAAATCTAGATAGGTCTAATCTGAAACTGGGTCCACAATATGGTGGGAGTCTCGAGACCAGGGGTTCTGGGGCGGGGCACAGGGTTCCTCGGGAATGCGCCCTGGGCGAAGGGAAGCGCGTAACCGTGGTCCGGGGGAAGGGGGCAGGGTACCTGACGTGCCCGGGGAGAAAGTCTCATCCGAAGGGAAGACAGGAGCAGGACAGATGGGATCATCAGACGTTAAATCGGGAGGTGAGGGGACCGCCTCCGCCCCCTAGCCCCCAGCCCCAGGAGCGCTCCTGGAACGCCCCAGGAGTGCTCCAGGAACTCTCCGGGGCGCAGACATCTAGGGGAGAATCCCAGCGCCGGCTCGGACTCCCCGCCCTGGGGCTGGGGCAGGTTCGTAACTCACCCTGGCGGCCAAGCGGCTGTAGGGTGAAGACCCGCCGCCTCCCCAGCATGGCCTGGCTCCGAGCGTCTGAAGGAGCAGCTGCAGCCCTGGAGGAGGACAGAGAGCCCTGCACCGGCCCGGAGCCCCCACTCCCCTCCCAGCCCCGCAGCCCGGACAGGGCGCGGCTCTGGGACACTCCTAGCCTAGGAGGGCTGGGGGGAAGGGGAGGGGGGAGAAGGTGGGGAAGAGAAGGAGGAGGCCAGGATTGGGGGAAAGGAGGGCGAGGCGAATGCGATGAACTGCAGTGGGACTGCTGAGGTCCCCTCTGGCTTAAGGGGAGGATTGGGGACAGGTGGGGGAAATGTGAGCCCTAAGCAACTGGGGTGAGGGGGTGGGGTGGGGTGCCTGTGGATGAATGAACCAGAGGAGGGAAGAGCGAGGTGGACTCGGCATTAAACCCTCTGGTTCTCCCCTCCAGCCCTCTTGACTAATCCTGGCTGGGAAAGGAGATAAGGGCATTCCGACAGTTTGGTTTCCCACTCCCTCAGCTAGCCAGAAAGCTTACAAAGATGAAAGCGGGACTGAAATTGGAACTCAGAAAACCAGACCCAAAGTGGGGGGTGGGAGGCAGTCTGGTAGGGGAGGGGAGCCTACCAATCATACTTCCCTATCCACTATCCTCTCCCTGGGCCTCAGTGTCCTAAGCTGTAAAACAGGAGTGCTAGGCTGTTCTGTCCCCCCTCTAGATTACAGTTCCAAGTTAAATATACGGGGGAAGAGATGGGATCTATGTAAAGAGAAGGAAGCCTATAGTTCCTTGTGGTTGTAGAGGAAAGGTTGTGACCTCCAGGAGGGTAGAGTGTGGTAACACATATTTCCTTCCAGCCTCAGCACTGGCGTTTGCAGAAAATAGGCATTTACTAAATGACCTGAATAAATGTCTTAATGTCATTCTTCAGAGTCAGAAGACCTGCCGGTCTCGGATCTACCCAGGTATGGAATGACCTAACACTGTAAAATGGAGATAATGACAACACGGGCCTGTACTCCCTTAGAGGAATGTGGTAAGCATTAATTGAGATCGATACACATATGCAAAGCATTATTCTTATTTTTAGGCCAAGTCAAAACTCCACTCTATTCCTTTTCCCCTTGGAAAATATAGATTTTGGGAGAAATAGATCCTACTAAGGAGAGAAGAAATGTCTTTTCCAGGCAGTGCTGGCATTGATCCAGTCTAAAGCCAGAAGGGCTAAAGGGGGACCAGCACCCCAATCTGTAGCTATAAATTAGGGGTAAAGCTACAGAGAGACCTCCCTCAAGTCTCACTTTTATTCCCTCTCCACCCATTCCCTTTCCCATTCCAAGAAGCAGATTGTTGGAGTGGGTGAGAGAGAGGAGATACCTAAGTCAAGAACAGAGTTCACTCCCTCCTCTCTCAAGAAAGGAAGAAAAAAAAAAAGAAAATCCCTCAGAAGTAGATAAGGGAGGGAATGGGACTGTAAGATGCCTGCCCTGAATCTGGGGAATGTGAGGATAGATTCCTAGAGGGGCCCAGCTGTCTCTGTGGTGACTGTGGGTCAGGAATGTGGCCAGCCGAGAACAGGAAGCTCAGGGCCTGCAGGAATGCAAGTCTTAGGCACAGGCTTTGTGTGTGCCTCAGACAGGCTTCCTCTAACCTGCCCAAGCCCCTCCCTAACTTCCCCAGAAGTGAAAAAAGACCAGATTCCTCTACCCTTACTACAACCACGGCTCCTCAGGAAGCTAAGGAAAAAGAGGAGACCTCTTCTTTGGGACCCTTGGGAGTCTGTTTGATTGGCCTTACCCCTTAATTCACTTCCTTCTCCCAAACCAAACCCTCCACGCCCCCAGCCAGTCCTTACTTACCTTCTTAACCTAGGAATGGTTCCTAACGATGCCCAAATCAGAAGCTTCAAGGCATGCCCATACTTCTTCGATGCTTAAAGGTCAAGACCCCCTGAACATTCCAGGGACATACCTAGATCTCCCCGAACTTTGCTTCACCCATCTCATCCAGCCGTCCCTCGATAAACCAAGACCTTGTTCCTGCTCTGAGAACAGTAACAGAATCCATAGTCCTTTGCTGGTGGAAAGGGCATGGTGGTTGACTGTCCTGTGGCTCCATTCACAAGTCATGAGAATCTCCAGTCCAAAACTCCCTTACATAGCCACTGATCTAGAATGCAAGCTCCTTGAGGGCAAGGTGTCAGAGTGGATAGAGGGCCTGGCCTGGAGTCAGGAAGGCTCCTCTTCCTGAGATCAAATTCAGCCTCAGACACTTATAAGCTATGTGACCTTGGGCAAGTCACTTAACCCTGTTTGCCTCAGTTTCCTCACCTGTAAAATGAGCTGAAGAAGGAAATGGCAAATCATTCCAGTATCTTTGCCAAGAAAATCTCAAACGGGGTCATGCAGAGTTGGGCACTACTGGATAACAGCAACAAAGTATAGTGCAAAAGTAGGAAGTGGTCAAGTTATTGAGATGCCAGATGATGTTAGATTTGATCCTGCAGGTAGTAAGGAGCTACTGGAGTGTATCGAGTAGGGAGGTGACATGATCAGCTCCGTGCTATAGGAATTTGGTAGCTGAATGAAGGATGGACTGGAGTGGGGAGAGACCTGTGGCAGGCAGACCCACCAGGAGGCTGTTGCAACAGTCCAGGTGTGAGGTGATGAAGGCCTGCACCAGACTGGGGCCAGTGTCAGAGGAGAGAAGGGCGTATATATAAGAGAACTGAGGTAAAAAGGGTTAAGGGATTTGCTCAGGGTCCCAAAGCTGGTAAAGGTCTGAGGTGAGATTTGAACTAGGGAAGATGAGTCTTCCCGACTCCAGGCACAGCGCTCTGTGCACTATGGCGCCACCTAGTGGCCCAAATAATTTATGCTAGAGCAGCACTGGTCTTGCTGCTCCTCCTGCAGAATACTGTTTCCCTACTCCCAGCTTCCAGTGACTGCTCGCATGCGTGGAATGCTCTTCCTCCTCACCCCCACCTCCTAGCTTCCTTGACTTCCTTCACAACTCAGTTTAAATCTCACCTTCTGCGGGAGACCTTTCCCAGTGCCCCTCACTGCTAGTGAGTTCCCTCTGAGATTACCTGCTGTTTACACTGTGTACATTTTGTCTGTACGGTTATTTGCGTGTTGACTCTTGTGAGAACATAGGCTCCTTGTGGGCAGGAGCCATGGTTTTGCCTCCTGTGTATTTTCGCCATTTAGACAGTGCCCAGCACGTTTTTTGCTGTTCTTCTGACATCGTCAGTCCCGTCGCACTCTCCGTGTCCCCGTTGGGGGTTTTCTTGGCAAAGATACTATAGTGGTTTGTCATTTCCTTAGGACTTAATAAATGCTTGCTGACTTGTGAAGACATGTATGATCTACTACTATAACAACTCAGAAACAGAAGCACAGTCTGCATAATGACTTTTGGAAGGGGCAGGGATTGGGGCGGCTAGGTGGCACAGTGGATGGAGCACTGGCCCTGGATTCAGGAGGACCTGAGTTCAAATGTGGCCTCAGATACATAGCACTTACTAGCTGTGTGACCCTGGGTAAGTCACAACCCCAATTGCCTAAAAAATAAAAGAAAAGGAAGGGGCAGGGAGGGGTCCAGCCCTGTCAAATGAGACTTTAGCTGAGACCAGAGGGAAACCAGAGAAGCCAGGATAGGAGGGGCAGAGTTCCAGGCATGGGGGACAGTCTGGAAAGAAGTCTGGAGTGAAAAATAGAGCATCAAGGGGCAGCTAGGTGGCACAGTTCCAAGAGCTCCAGCCTTGGAGTCAGAAGGACCTGAGTTCGAATTTGGCCTTAGACACTTGACACTTACTAGCTGTATGACCCTGGCAAGTCACTTAATCCTGATTGCCTCACCAAAAAAGCAAAAAAAAAAATTTTTTTTTAAATACAGCATCATGCCCAAGATCACAAGTGGGATTTGAACCTAGGTCCTCCAACCCAAGGACGGTGCTTGAGATAATAAATACATCCATAAATGTATACACATATACATAGATGAAAGATTATATACATATATAGATATAATCACAAACATATAGGAGAGGCAGTACTGTGTAATGGAGAGCACCTGGATTTACAAAGACCTGGATTCAAGTCCTACTTTTATGATACATGCTGGCTGTATGATGACCTTGAGCAAGTCTTGAGCATATATCCATGTATATATGTATGTATGTGTATATATATATATATATATATATATATATATATATATATATATATGTATGTATGTATCTATAATATTCAGGCATTTTCCAGTTGTTTCCGACTCTTTATGACCCCATTTAAGTTTTCTTGGTAACAATACAGGAGTGATTTGCCATTTCCTTCTCCAGTTTAACAAACATTTATTAAAACATTTATTACCATATGTGACACACACTGGATAAAAAAGACAAAAATGAAATCATTCTTGCTCTCAAGGATTTTAAATTCCATCTGGGGAAACAGCTGACACAGAGGTGGGGTGTCTCAAGCCTTGGTTAGTTTAAGCTATTGAAGTTTAAGACTTTTAGGACACCCTGTATAAGTATAAACAAAATATATACAAGATGAGTATTAGGTAATTTCTGGGGACAGGCCCTAGCAGCTAGGGGGAATTAGGAAAATCATTCTGTATGAGGGTGGTACTTGAGCAGAATTTTGAAGGAAGAGTCTTAAGAGATGGAAGAGAAGAAAGAGTGTATTTCAGGAATGGAGGACACAGCCTATGTAAAGACAGAGGCAAGAAGTGGAATGCTCCTTCGAGACTCAAGGAGGGCCCCTAGCACCTTGGGTGGTGCTCCATTGGAACTCCCAATACAGAGCTTATGGAAGACCATAGATAAAAACTGCGCAGGATGGAGAGGCACAGGTCACTAGAGAGAATGTCCACATTAATGAGATCACAGGTCATCTGGATAGACTATATCTTAAATTGTTCTCTACTTCATTGTTTTTTCTCCTCAAAAAGATTGTAAGCTACATAAGGAAAGGGATCCTATCATTTTTTTTTTTTTGGTATTGCTTAAAAGGCATAGAGCCGGGGTGATCAATAAATGCTTAGTGAACTGGAAGTAGGCCTCGAACAGCAGGTACATTAGTCATGAGCTGATGGCATACATCCAGTCTTTTTTAAGAGAAAACTTGGAAGAGGGCCTCCTTTTTCAGGAAAGGATAATTTATTTAATCTCATTCATTGAAGTCATTGTTTCATCAGCTTGGTAGCCCCACAGGTTCACCACTTGGCCTCTATCCTTAGATTCATTAAAAAAAAAAAACCAAACCCACAACACCTTAATGCTTTTGGAGTCTGTTGGAGAGATTATTACTCAAACTCCTTTTTGGCCCATCTAATTTAAATTGAAAGGAAGAATGGTAGGCCGACCTTAGAGTCGAGAAGACAAGAGTTGAAGTCCTGGCATTGGTATCTACTAGTTAGCTAGAAATTCAGACAGCAAAAAGGAGGATTGAGTGAGATATAGATATATAGCTATAGATATAGATACACATTTTTTTTAATCAAGGATGGGGGGTGGGGAGAGGAAGGAATAGAAGATACATGACATGTCACTCTAAGGCCAGCCCTGATTGATTATATTGAGGATATATGTAGAGATGAGGGGTGAGGGGGGCAGTCCTTCAGGGATCATCTTTGGTCTGTCCCTCTTCAAATGGATCCCAGCCTCAGTGAGGAGATTAGGGGTTGACTCTGCTTTCCCTGAAGGAAGGCTAGCTCCCATAGCTGCTTTGGTGGGGACAAAAGGGGAGTGGGGAGTAGGGTGAAAACTGCAGATAAGCCTGAAGCCTACCTGCCTAGCAGGCCTTCTCCCTCCCTCTATATCTTCCCCTCCCCATCCCCTTCACCCCTCACTGAAACAGAGCTTATGGGAAGAACTTAGATGAAACTGCACAGAATGGAGACGCACAGGTGAGTGGTTATCTGTATCACTGGAGGGGATGTCCACATTAATGAGATCACGGGTCATCTGGATAGACTGCATATCTTATATTGTTCTCTACTTCATTGTCTTTTCTCCTCAAAAAGATT